GCCTACGTGCGGAATGCACAAGTATTGCCACCCCAATCGAGATCAGAGAAAGTGCCGCGGTGGCTAGGAGATGTTAACTACCTCGTCTGGTTTACAGGAGGTCGTGGGTTCGAGCCCGACCCTGACGCCTTTTGATTATTTGGGATTTTGCGTGTTTCTCTCCCCGTGGTCTCGTGGATTTTTCTCCGGGTCTTCCGGTTGATTTCCTCCACATTTAGAATCAACGTCACGCGTTGGGAGCATTTGGCTACTGCAATAAATGTGCACACGTTGATAAGCCACTTCGTTGAGCTATCATCAAGTGCGGCAAGCTGGCTACTGAGAAGTAGCTAAATAGCTCAGTGGGCCTCACCTGTTCAAAATAAATACAGTAGTTAAGTTTTAGTTTAGTTTAGAGACAAACTCCAAAATCCACCGTGACACAAATCTTTGGGGCACATTGATAGAGGCAGCACACTACAGGATCCCACAACCATCCTTACAGGGCATCGTTATTTTGCATTTGGCTCGGCTCGGATTACATTAAAAGAGGGGTGAGCACATGGAAGACCTTGGATTGAGACCATCACAGACTGGATGGGGATTTAGACCGCAACCGGCTTGGTCCGTGAGGTTTCGCACGTGGCAAGGCGGTGGGAGATCACGACCAGAGAGCTGCCGGTGTAGGTGGCCCGATGCGCTCGTCGTTATGAGCGATGAGTGGGTGGCACAGGTGGGTGGATGGATGGGTGGATGGAGGGTGGGTGGATGTGTGGATGGGTGGGTGGATGTGGGTGAGTGAGTGGATGGACAGATTGATGTGTGGATGGGTGGGTGGATGGAGGGTGGGTGGATGTGTGGATGGGTGGGTGGATGTGGGGGTAGGTGACTGGATGGATGGGCATATGGACGGGTGAGTGGATGGAGTGTGGGTGGATGTGTGGGTGGGTGGATGTGTGGATGGATGGGTGAATGGGTGGGTGGATGTGTGGGTGTGTGTGAGCAGCTCACACATCCTTGAAAGATCTGGACACATTCCCATCAGTGAGCTCCTCCGGCAGGCAAGACTGTGTTGGCTGTATCATGTCGCCCGCATGCCCAGCCACCGCATGCCCGGCCACCGCATGCCCGGCCACCGCATGCCCAGCCACCGCATGCCCAAGCAGCTTCTGTTTTGCCGCATAGAGGGGACTAAACGGGCACGACATGGGCTGGAGAAGAGATGGAGCTGATGCGTTACAGGAGGATGTGGAGCTGAGTGGAGTTGCCGATGAGTGGTACCAGCGGTGTCAAGATCGGCCTCTGTAGAGGAGGCTCGTGAAGGACGCTACTGGGCAGTTGGAGGCAGTCGCCCTCCAACAACAACGGAGGGCAGAGGAGCGACGCTCACAACAACGAGCGGAGCGCCGGGCGGATAAAATGCAGCAAGTTGGCACAGTAGGGGGTACAGCTGGTGTGCATCTACCAGTCATCTCAGTCAGCCAACCCATGGCACCTGCTGGGTCTGTCCCAATAGCCTCTGTCAGCGAGCCTTCGACACTTCACGTGGTAGCCGCAAAGTGCACCTAGCCTGGCACAGGTGCCGTGGTGACGGCACCGTCACTTAGTGGCGAATAGCGGGTGTTGGTATCGGGCGGGTGGGTGGACAGATGGGTGGGTGGATGTTATCTTATTTTTTAATGTATATAGCGGCCTTGATTAAGGCGCTGAACAAATAATTAGCTCTTTGTCGATGTGTTGAAGGCTCAAGTTGGAGGCTAGAGGGGACGATGAGAACGGACGACCATTGCTGTTGAAACAACACGCAGCGGTTAAGCGTCTGTGATCGTTTGCCCCATATGTGTTTGTACAGTATATATGTTTACTGTATTTGTGTATGTTTTTGGCACCGTTAAATCGATGTGCCTATTTAGGTTTGCTCAGAAGATCGGCGGTGTTGGTAAAGGCATATCGTAAAGGGAGTGAGGCAAATGCTACATCTAAATGATGTGTTTTCAACAAAAAATAACCTCATCAATAACACAGCCCACTTAAAGACCGGCACGTATACACGGATTGCATCAAGGTGCACCTAGCATGGCACACGCGGCGTGTTGATGAACCAACGGCGGTTGTTGTTGTTGTCGTATAGATGTCGACATCCTTCACACTGTTTTTAGAATAAACGTATAATTACGATAAGTAGCGTTCTGTATTGTTTTGCCTTGAGCGCAGGGAGACGTGTGTCCCCTCACCCATGGGGGGACAACCCCAAGGGGGGGCAACCCCAAGGGGGGACAACCCCATGGGGGGGGCAACCCCAAGGGGGGACAACCCCAAGAGGGGGCAACCCCAAGTGGGGGCAACCCCATGGGTGGACAGCCCCATGGGGGACAACCCCATGGGGGGCTCTGCGGGTTTTGGGGGTTGAAATTTTTGGCACCAAAAATAAAATCTCCGCGTGCACGCGCGGCGCGGGGCGGGGCGGGGCGCGGGGCGGGGCGCGGGGCGGGGCGCGGGGCGGGGGGGGGGGCGGGGCGAGTCCCCCTCCCCCCATCGTGGAGGAGGGGGTAGGGGGGGCGGTAGGGTAGAGAGGGGGAGGGGGTAGGGGGGCGGTGGGGTAGGGGGGCGGTGGGGTAGGGGGGGTGAGGGGGTAGGAGGGGTGAGGGGGTAGGGGGGGGCGGTGGGGTAGAGAGGGGGAGGGGGTAGGGGGGCGGTGGGGTAGGGGGGCGGTGGGGTAGGGGGGGTGAGGGGGTAGGAGGGGTGAGGGGGTAGGGGGGGGCGGTGGGGTAGAGAGGGGGAGGGGGTAGGGGGGCGGTGGGGTCGGGGGGCGGTGGGGTAGGGGGGCGGTGGGGTAGGGGGGTGAGAGGGTAGGAAGGGGGAGGGGGTAGGGGGGCGGTGGGGTAGGGGGGCGGTGGGGTAGGGGGGTGAGGGGGTAGGGGGGCGGTAGGGTAGGGGGGGTGAGGGGGTAGGAGGGGGGAGGGGGTAGGGGGGCGGTGGGGTAGGGGGGTGAGGGGGTAGGGGGGTGAGGGGGGCGGGGTGCGCATCAGGTTGTGGGGGGGAGGGAGCGAGGCGAGACGGGAGAGAGAGCGAGGAGGGGGGAGAGAGGGGAGACAGAGCGACGGTGAGAGAGGGGAGAGAGTGGCAGCGGGGGGGGGGGGGGCGAGGTGCGAGATGGAGAGAGGGGAGAGATGGGGAGGGAGGGCGGCAGAGAGAGTGAGAGGTTAGCAAGGGCGATGGGGGAGAGGGAGCTGGGGGAGAGAGATGAGAATGGAGAGAGGAGGAGGAGGGGGGGTCCCCGCGTGGGGGAGGAGGGTGGGGGACGCATCAGGTTGTCGGGGAGAGAGAGAGGTGGGAGATGGAGCAGTGGGCGATGGAGGAGGCCGTGTGCTCGGTGGCAGATGACGGGGAGCTCTGCATGCTGATGTGAGCTACCTGTCGGAGGCCGTAGGACTGCGAGGAGGGCTGCGTGCAGATGCAGCACTTGTCGTAGTAAAAAAAACATTACAAATGTTACATAGAAAACAGAGGGAACATAGACATGGAGTAGGGAGAGAGGGGGTAGAGAGAGAGGGTGGGTACGAAGGAGGAGAGCAGAGCGTGAAATCTTTTGTGAAATCTTTCATTTAAAAAGGGGGGGGGGGGCACATAAAGCAAAGCGTTGGGAAAAAAACCGAAATGATGAACGAAGCAAAGTGCCGACTACACCGAGCATCTTCTTGTTTCCTCTGATCGTAAAAACAAAAGAGAGCGCGCGAGGTGCGAGATGGAGGGAGGAAAGGGATGGGGGAGGGATGGAGGGAGGGAGAGAGGTTAGAAAGGGAGATGGGGAGAGAGAGGGGGGATAGAGATGTAGGAGAGGGGTGGGGGCAGAGGTTAGAGAGAGTGGGAGATGTGGAGGGAGGGAACATTGAAAAGGGAGGCGGGGAAGGAGAGAGGAAAGAGGGGGAGAGTGGGTGGGAGAGGAGAGAAAGGAAGATGAAAAAAGATGTTGAGCGTGAGCATATGGTGCGAGAGATATGGGGGGAGATAATATAGTCGGAGGAGAGAGAGGGGGGGGAACAGGTGGAGAGGAAAGAGAGACAAGAAGGAAATCAATAGAGAGGAATTGGAGTGAGAGAGAGGTGGGGGTTTACATAAAGCAAAGTTTAAAAATTTAAATTAAAAAAATTACGAAATGATGAACGAAGCAAAGTGCCGAATACACCGAGCATCTTCTTGTTTCCACTGATCGTAAAAAAAGAGAGGGCGACTCTTGTATGTGAGCGAGGGAGAGCGCTTGAGAGAGAGAGACTGTGTGAGGGGAGAGCATTCGGGAATATTTGCGAAAGAAGAAGAGAGATAGAGTGAGGCTGTCCAATACTAGAACGGCAGGGTGGAGAGCGAGCTGAGCGGAGGGCGAACTGCAGGGAGAGGGCGGAACGGGGGGAGCTGCCGGGAGAGACGGGAGAGCGAATCGAGAGAGGAATAGGAGAGCTCTTGAGAGATAATAGAGAGAGGGAGGGAGAAAGAGAGAGGCAAAGGGAGAGCTTTAATGAAGAGGGGAGAGGGTGCGCAAGCTGTATGGAGAGATAGCAAAGAGAGCTCTGTTGGGAGAAAGCGAAAGGAGAGGGGGGAAACATCGAGAGGGGGAAGGTGAAAGGGAGAGCGAGAAATAGGAGAGCGAGAGAGTGCAGGGGAGAGCTGTAGGGAGAGAGAGGGTGAAGGGGAGAGCTGTAGGGAGAGAGAGGGTGAAGGGGAGAGCTGTAGGGAGAGGGGGAGAGAGCGAGAGAGTGCAGGGGAGAGCTATAGGGATAGAGAGGGTGAAGGGGAGAGCTGTAGGGAGAGCGAGAAGAGAGAGTGGAAGGGGGAGCTGTAGGGAGAGGGAGAAGAGAGAGCGAGAAGAGAGAGTGGAGGGGAGAGCTGTATGGAGCGAGAGAGCGAGAAGAGAGAGTGCAGGGGAGAGTTGTAGGGAGAGCGAGAAGAGAGAGTGCAGGGGAGAGCTGTAGGGAGAGCGAGAGAGCGAGAAGAGAGCGAGAAGAGAGAGTGGAGGGGGGAGCTGGAGGGAGAGCGCCGGGCATCGCCTCTCCGGGGCGGGACGCATGGCGGGCGAGTGCACGCGATGAAGGAGGAAACAAGATGAAGATGAGGCGACGGGGAGGAGGAAGAGGAGGATGCTGCGTGAGGGGCTCTGGCTCAACTTGGATTCAACATGTAGCAGCAGCAGCATCGCACGCGTATACATCGCGAACAATTAACGACGACGACGACAATATTGATCATTAAAAGAACAACAGGCAACAGTATTCCCGTCATTTAAAACCAACCCCACGCACGAACCGGTTTTGACCTCAAGTTGAGGTCGCGGTGAAGAGAGAGAGAGAGAGACACACAGGGGAAGCATTCAGCAGGTGAGCGTGTTTCATTCCCTCAAATGTAACCTACATTTCGTGGTAAATATGGTCATCTGCATTTTGCTACGTGCATTACCCCCCCCCCTCTTCCCCCGGCTTCGTGCTTTTGAAACGGGTCAAAATGTGCAGTCGAATGGGCGGTCAGCACCGTGCATCGCCGTGCCGTCCCTGCTGCCGACGTCCTTGTCGTTGTTGTCGTTATAATAATAATGATGATGATGATTATGTGTGGCCGTGGTGGTGGTGTTGTGGGGACAATTAAACCGTCCACGCCTCCCCCGTCCCCCCACCCTCTATAAAGTCCTACAGGCGGCGGGGGCCATCACCATGTCGTGCTCAGATGCTGCCATTAAAAGAGTGACAACGCGTGTCGAAGAGACATCTGGAGAATATATATTATATACACACATATGCATATATATGCTTTTCTGCTGTCGCGTGTGATAATGCTTTGGCAGCGTAAATTATATAAAAAACAAACTAAACACATTTGTCAAAAAACACTGCCCTCACGTGAATATATATGCGTGGTTTGCGACGTTTCGGCCAATGGGCCCTTCTTTCATAGTTCACAGCAGAGAGAGAGAGACACATTCGTGGCCGGAGCGAGAGGCTGGACCAATTTTTTTGTTGCTCAAACCCCCGCCACCACCACCCACCGCCCCGAATTGATGACGTGATGGGGGTGTTGTGCAGTCGTTGGTGACCGGAATGGTGCCATGAAATTCATTCGCACGCCACAGGTTTTGGTGGATTTGAACGGAGGAAATCAGTTCACCTTGGGCCAGGTGTATCTGGCATGGCGCTGTTATGGGACCTCTGAGAGAGGGAGACAGACGAATACAAACACAACACCCAGAACCGAGGGCTTATAATAAACGCGTGCGCTCAGCAGGACTGGCTAGACGTATCTGACATGGCCATGACGAGACATTCGAGAGAGGGGAAGAGAGGCAACACGCTCCGGTGGATCTGTGGTGCTGCTGGTTCGGTGTCTCGGACGTGGACATCGTGAACACAAAATGACATAAACATCCAGCTCCAGGGGCTTGGGGCTCTGCCGATGATGAACCAATGGAGAGAGAGGAGAGGGTGACACACAACAACCGCCATTCGCCACTAAGTGGCGGTGACGTCACCACGGCGCTTGTGCCAGGCTAGGTGCACGTTGAGGCCACGTGAAGTGTCGAACGCCCGCTGGCAGGAGGGTCACGGGGCAGACCCAGCAGGTGCCACGGGTCGACTGACAGATGACTGGACCGATGCAGCTCACCTGTGCCCCATACTGTGCCAACTTGCTGCGCTTTAGCTACCCGGGGCTCCACTCGTTGTTGTGAGGGTGACACACACACACGTAGACCCAGGACTTGAAACCCGGTACTGTGTGGTACCGTGTTTGGCTCTGGCTCCGACACGGCCATCGTGAAGCCACGTAGTCACACAACCCCCGTCGTGCACGCGTGAGCGTTCGTCTTCATTGGGTTCGCGATTAATATGTGGCGGTGGGGGAGGGGTCATTGATAATGAAATTGTTTAAATAGCGGCGATTAAGAAGCCAAAATTTTCTGCCTGAAACTCCATTGAAGCGTGCTAATTGGTGCGCTCGTGTAAACTGTGTACTGTCAAAATAAATAGAGTCCTCACATGGCAACGTATGTGTATTGAATAACGTAAAAATCTATATATGTGTTTTTTTTACATGAGGAAAGCTTAAACTGAGTGTCAGGACTTTCGTTTACAATTGGAGATGTTCGGCAACATTCCTCGGCCCATCTCTGGATGGCTCCAGTAATCTTAATTGAGAATCAAAAAGAAAAAAAATCATAAATCTTCCCATTGGTTAATTGTTCTGACACCAGAGGGAGGCTATACAAATTGTAATATCACTACATGTTTTATTTTACCAGGTAAGGCACACCGAACTATAATTTGAGCTCTTTTTCAGAAGCGAACCTGGACAGTCGCAAACGACAGCTCAACGAAGTGGCTCAATTAATTATCATCGCCGCGTGGAAATTGATAGCGACCGAATGACTCTAAACGCCTGACGTTGATTCTAAACGTGGAAAAGGCGCGTTTAAGACCCCGGAGAAAAATCCACCTGTGCGTTTGTTGACTCCACGGCAGTCTCTCGTGACCATCGACCTGGCAGAAGAGGTTGCACTCGCTTGTGATCCAGCACTTTGATGGCAAAGGGGGTTTGTGCATCGCGTAGAGAGATGTCAACTACCTCGCCTGGTATACAGGAGGTCGGCATGGCGCACGAGGGGGTCGGTGGCCGCCACCACACACGGCCGCTTCTGTCTCCCCAGTGGCGATGTTTACACACAGCACCAGGCACTCATTTGAGGCTGAGTCGTCCTAGGGGAGGCCCAGAAGCGGTTCAGATAATCGTCACTTGGTGTTGACCGTGAGCGGGAGTCGAACTCGGGTGGCCGGGTTCCTAGCGCTAGGGTAGCGAGATGTTAACTACCTCGCCTGGTATACAGGAGGATCCTAGCAGGATCCGAGGTTCGATTCCAACCCTGACGCCTGCTGCTGTATATTTGGAGTTTGCTGTATTTCTCTCCCCGTGGTCGCGTGGATTTTTCTCCGAGTCCTCCAGTTTTCCCCCTCCACGTTTGGAATCAAACGTCACGCGTTAAGAGTTATATGGCTTCTATAAATGTCCACGTGATGGTAAGCCACTTGGTTGAGCTATCATTGTGTGTGTGGCTCGTGTGCAGGGTGTTGTGGGGCATGTGCAGGGTGTGTGTGTGAGTGTGTGTGGCTCATGTGCAGGGTGTGTGTGTGTGTGGGGCATATGCAGGGTGTGTGAGTGTGTGGCGCATGTGCAGGGTGTGTGAGTGTGTGGGGCATGTGCAGTGTGTGTGTGGCATGTGCAGGGTGTGTGTGGGGCACGTGCAGGGTGTGTGTGTGTGTGGGGCATGTGCAGGGTGTGTGAGTGTGTGTGTGTGGGGCATGTGCAGGGTGTGTGAGTGTGGGGCATGTGCAGGGTGTGTGTGTGTGTGGGGCATGCGCAGGGTGTGTGTGTGTGGGGCATGTGCAGGGTGTGTGAGTGTGGGGCATGTGCAGGGTGTGTGTGGGGCACGTGCGGGGTGTGTGTGTGTGTGGGGGGGGCATGTGCAGTGTGTGAGTGTGTGAGTGTGGGGCATGTGCAGGGTGTGAGTGTGTGTGGGGCATGTGCAGGGTGTATGAGTGTGTGTGGGGCATGTGCAGGGTGTGCGTGTGGGCAGGTCGCTTCTGAGTGGTTGGTGCCTTACACTGTAAAATAAAAAAATGTATCATTTAGTTTGATGATGCAGCAGTGTGGATTTGTCATCCCGTCTGTGTATCACAGCTCTGCGTGCTGTCCGTCACCTTATGTGTGAGTGTGCTCCGTGAGGTTTTCTCCTAACACTGCACTGCCCACCCCACTCCAGACTTCCTCCCGAACGAAACCGAACCAACTTCACTTAACAAGCAACTGGCCCCAAAGTATCCCAAATGTAGCAAGGGCAACTCTTGCAAACGAGTCTTGAGACTCACCGAGACCTTTCCTGGGTAAAAGTAATGCATCTATCCTTGACCTGCATTGGTCAATGATAGACGGGTCCCCGTCATCGGAACATGGATCATTATCATCATCAGCTGCAGCGTGATCTGCAACAGGTGGACACCTTCTGCTACACACAGATAGATACATTTATACATGATACATTACAGCCCTGCATTGGTCAAGGATAGACGGGTCCCCGCCATCGGAATGTGGATCCATCATTATCATCATCATCAGCTGCAGCAGGTGGGCACGTGCCGTCTCGCACAGCAGCGACACTTGCGGCTTCGAAACGGCAACCACTGCTGCGGTAATAACCCCCTGAACCCCTCGCCCCGGACTCGAACCCTGACCCACAGAGAACGCTGGGGACTCGCGTCCTTCACCTCCACCATCAACTGCCACGAACCACCATCAGCAACCTCCTCCTCCTCCATCACCAACCACCATCACCAACCTCCCCCTCCTCCATCACCACCATCACCAACCTCCCCCTCCACCATCACCACCCTCCACCATCACCACCATCACCAACCTCCCACTCCACCATCACCACCACCATCACCAACCTCCACCATCACCACCATCACCAACCTCTCCCTCCACCATCACCACCATCACCAACTTCCACCATCACCAAGCTCCTCCAGCCGAGAAGTCTCGGAGCATCGACTGCGGACGTGGGCGGCGCCATGAGCGGCGGTGAGCGCCGGACTGCAGGCAGCCGTCGATGATGTCTTACGTGCAGGTGTGTGCTGCGTGCAGGTGCGTGCTGCGTGCAGGTGCGTGCTGCGTGCAGGTGTGTGCTGCGTGCAGGTGTGTGCTGCGTGCACGCGCGCGTCTGTGCCGACACGAGGGAGACAAAGGCGGCCGGGCGTGGTGCTGGCCACCCCCCACCCCCCCTTTCCCCCCTCGTGCACCGTGCCGGCCTTGGATAATAGCACTTGCCCCCCCCCCCCCCCCTCAACAGTCTGTCGAGGCTATACGGGGGATCTTTGTCTTTGTGTGGACCCACACTAGGGAGACAAAGGCGGCCGGGCGTGGTGCTAGCCACCCACCACCCCCTCGTGCGCTGTGCCGGCCTTCGTAGGTGGTGCTACTCGCTAACAGCTCTTGCCCCCAAATAAGTCTGTTAAGGCTACACGGGGAGTCTTTGTCTTTGTTTGCATCGCCACTGGGGAGACAAAGGCGGCCGGGCGTGGTGCCGGTCACCCAGCATCCCCTCGTGCGCCGTGCCGGCCTTTGTAGTCGCTAACAGCACTGCCAAGGCGATACGGGCGATCTTCGTATCCTCCACTCCTAGGTCGACTCAGCCCGAAACGTGGTGAGCGGAAAGATCACCACCGGCTAAAGGAGAGTAGGGGACGGCGGAGGTGTTGGTCTTTGTGTTGTTGTTGTTGTTGTTCTCCGCTTGCTGCATATCGCAGCCATCGTCACCGTCATCAGCGGCCACGGTCAATCCACCTCCGGGTGAAATCCTCCCGAAGCCGCCGTCACCTGTAGCGTGAACGTGCGCGCGCGCGCACACGTGCGTGTATGACGCATTGCACCTTAATAGGTGCTCGCTAAATACAAAGTTCATTTGCCTTTGCCGCTGTAGCCTTACAACAGAGTGCTGGGGGCAAGTGCTGTTAGCGAGCGGCGATCTGTGAAGGGGTTGGTTGGGTGGGTGGACAACACCACGCCCGGCCGCCTTTGTCTCCCCAGTGCTGATGTTTACACGTCGCTTATTTAAGGCTGAGTCAACCTGGGGGGGGGGGGGGGGGGGGTGGGATCCTCAGGACCGGTTCAGATAGTCGTCACTTGGTGTTGGCCGTGAGCGGGAAATCGAACTCGGGTCGCCGGGTTCGTAGCGCGGCGCGCTGACCGCTGCACCACCGCTCCCCACAGACGACACAGACGACAGAGACGAAGATCCCCCGTATAGCCGTCAACTGGTGGGGCAAGTGCAGTTAGCGAGTAGCGCCTATGAATGGCGGGACGGCAAAGACGACACACACACAGTAGACACACACACACTAGACACACACACACAGACGACACACACACAGACGATACACACACACTAGACACACACACAGACGACACACACACAGTAGACACACACACACTAGACACACACACAGTAGGCACACACAGACGACACACACACAGTAGACACACACACAGACGACACACACACACACAGACGACACACACATTAGACACACACACAGACGACACACACACAGACGATACACACACACAGACGACACACACACAGACGACACACACACAGTAGACACACACACAGACGACACACACACACACAGACGACACACACACACACAGACGACACACACATTAGACACACACACAGACGACACACACACAGACGATACACACACACAGACGACACACACACAGACGATACACACACAGACGACACACACACACAGACGACACACACACAGTAGACACACACACAGACGATACACACACACAGACGACACACACACAGACGATACACACACAGTAGACACACACACAGACGACACACACAGACGACACACACACACTAGACACACACACACAGACGACACACACACAGACGACACACACACACTAGACACACACACACAGTAGACACACACACAGACGATACACACACACAGACGACACACACACAGACGATACACACACAGTAGACACACACACAGACGATACACACACAGTAGACACACACACACAGACGATACACACACAGTAGACACACACACAGACGACACACACACACAGTAGACACACACACACAGACGATACACACACAGTAGACACACACACAGACGATACACACACAGTAGACACACACACACAGACGATACACACACAGTAGACACACACACAGACGATACACACACACAGTAGACACACACACACAGACGATACACACACAGTAGACACACACACAGACGATACACACACACAGTAGACACACACACAGACGACACACACACAGTAGACACACACACAGACGACACACACACAGTAGACACACACACACTAGACACACACACACAGACGACACACACACAGACGATACACACACACTAGACACACACACAGACGACACACACACAGTAGACACACACACACTAGACACACACACAGTAGACACACACAGACGACACACACACAGTAGACACACACACAGACGACACACACACACACAGACGACACACACATTAGACACACACACAGACGACACACACACAGACGATACACACACACAGACGACACACACACAGACGACACACACACAGTAGACACACACACAGACGACACACACACACACAGACGACACACACACACAGACGACACACACATTAGACACACACACAGACGACACACACACAGACGATACACACACACAGACGACACACACACAGACGATACACACACAGACGACACACACACACAGACGACACACACACAGTAGACACACACACAGACGATACACACACACAGACGACACACACACAGACGATACACACACAGTAGACACACACACAGACGACACACACAGACGACACACACACACTAGACACACACACACAGACGACACACACACAGACGACACACACACACTAGACACACACACACAGTAGACACACACACAGACGATACACACACACAGACGACACACACACAGACGATACACACACAGTAGACACACACACAGACGATACACACACAGTAGACACACACACACAGACGATACACACACAGTAGACACACACACAGACGACACACACACAGTAGACACACACACAGACGATACACACACACAGTAGACACACACACACAGACGACACACACACAGACGACACACACACAGTAGACACACACACAGACGACACACACACAGTAGACACACACACAGACGACACACACACAGATGACACACACACAGACGACACACACACAGTAGACACACACACAAACGACACACACACAGACGACACACACACAGTAGACACACACACAGACGACACACACACAGTAGACACACACACAGTAGACACACACAGTAGACACACACACAGTAGACACACACACAGACGACACACACACAGTAGACACACACACAAACGACACACACACAGACGACACACACACAGTAGACACACACACAGACGACACACACACAGTAGACACACACACAGTAGACACACACAGTAGACACACACACAGTAGACACACACACACACAAACGACACACACACAGTAGACACACACAGTAGACACACACACAGACGACACACACACACTAGACACACACACACAGTAGACACACACACAGACGACACACACACACAGATGACACACACACACAGATGACACACACACACAAACGACACACACACAGTAGACACACACACACAGTAGACACACACACACAGATGACACACACACACAGTAGACACACACACACAGTAGACACACACACAGACGATACACACACAGTAGACACACACACAGTAGACACACACACACAGACGACACACACACACAGTAGACACACACACAGATGACACACACACACAGTAGACACACACACAGATGACACACACACACAGTAGACACACACACACAGTAGACACACACACACACACACAGTAGACACACACACAGATGACACACACAGTAAACACACACACACAGATGACACACACACACAGTAGACACACACACACAGATGACACACACACAGTAGACACACACACAGATGACACATACACACAGACGACACACACACAGTAGACACACACACTTAGACGACACACACACAGTAGACACACACACAGATGACACACACACACAGACGACACACACACAGTAGACACACATACAGTAGACACACACACACAGTAGACACACACACAGATGACACACACAGACGACACACACACAGACGACACACACACATATACACACAGACACACACAGACGACACACACACAGTAGACACACACAGACACACACAGTAGACACACACACAGTAGACACACACAGACGACACACACACAGTAGACACACACACACAGTAGACACACACAGTAGACACACACACAGTAGACACACACACAGACGACACACACACAGTAGACACACACACAGTAGACACACACACAGACGACACACACACAGTAGACACACACACAGTAGACACACACACAGTAGACACACACAGACGACACACACACAGTAGACACACACACAGTAGACACACACACACAGATGACACACACACAGTAGACACACACACACACTAGACACACACACAGACGATACACACACAGTAGACACACACACAGTAGACACACACACAGTAGACACACACACACAAACGACACACACACAGTAGACACACACAGTAGACACACACACAGTAGACACACACACAGTAGACACACACACAGACGACACACACACACTAGACACACACACACAGTAGACACACACACAGACGACACACACACACAGATGACACACACACACAGATGACACACACACACAAAGGACACACACACAGTAGACACACACACACAGTAGACACACACACACAGATGACACACACACACAGTAGACACACACACACAGTAGACACACACACAGACGATACACACACAGTAGACACACACACAGTAGACACACACACACAGACGACACACACACACAATAGACACACACACAGATGACACACACACACAGTAGACACACACACACAGATGACACACACACACAGTAGACACACACACACAGTAGACACACACACACAGTAGACACACACACAGTAGACACACACACAGATGACACACACAGTAGACACACACACAGATGACACACACACACAGTAGACACACACACACAGATGACACACACACACAGTAGACACACACACACAGATGACACACACACAGTAGACACACACACAGATGACACATACACACAGACGACACACACACAGTAGACACACACACTTAGACGACACACACACAGTAGACACACACACAGATGACACACACACAGACGACACACACACAGTAGACACACACACAGTAGACACACACACACAGTAGACACACACACAGATGACACACACAGACGACACACACACAGACGACACACACACATATACACACAGACACACACAGACACACACACAGTAGACACACACACAGACACACACACAGACGACACACACACACACAGATGACACACACAGATGACACACACACATAGACGACACACACACACAGTAGACACACACACACAGACACACACACACAGTAGACACACACACAGTAGACACACACACACAGACACACACACACAGACACACACACAGACGACACACACACAAACACACACACACAGACGACACACACACAAACGACACACACACACAGATGACACACACAGACGACACACACACACAGACGACACACACACACAGTAGACACACACACACAGACGACACACACACATAGACGACACACACACACAGTAGACACACACACACAGACGACACACACACATAGACGACACACACACACAGTAGACACACACACAGACGACACACACACACAGATGACACACAGACGACACACACACACAGTAGACACACACACAGACGACACACACACACAGACGACACACACACATAGACGACACACACACAGTAGACACACACACACAGACACACACACAGTAGACACACACACAGACACACACACAGACCACACACACACACAGTAGACACACACACAGTAGACACACACACAGTAGACACACACACAGACCACACACACACAGTAGACAAACACACACAGATGACAAACACACAGATGACACACACACATACACACACACATACACACATACACACACAGACACACACAGACGACACACACACATACACACATACACACACAGATGACACACACACACAGACACACACAGACGACACACACACACAGATGACACACACAGATGACACACACACATAGACGACACACACACACAGTAGACACACACACACAGACACACACACACAGTAGACACACACACAGTAGACACACACACATACACACATACACACACACACAGACACACACACATACACACATACACACACAGACACACACAGACGACACACACACATACACACATACACACACAGATGACACACACACACAGACACACACAGACGACACACACACACAGATGACACACACAGATGACACACACACACATAGACGACACACACACAGTAGACACACACACACAGACACACACACACAGTAGACACACACACAGTAGACACACACACATACACACATACACACACAGATGACACACACACACAGACACACACAGACGACACACACACATACACACACATACACACATACATACACATACACACACATACACACACACACATGCACGTGCGCGGTAAATACAAGAGGTGGGGGGGGGGGGCGTGTGACGCGCCTCTCCTCCGTGGTGATGTTATCTCGTCACCATGGCGACCGGAGCACACGGGAGCGAGGGGGGGGGCGATTGGGTCGAGATAAATGATGGAGAGCGAGGGGAGAGGTGCAGCCAGAGGGAGAGAGGGAGGGGGAGCTGGTGGTGCTGGTGGTGGTGGCGGTGGTGGCGGTGGTGGTGGTGCTGGCGGTGGTGGTGGTGGTGCTGGTGGTGGTGGTGCTGGTGGTGCTGCTGGTGGTGGTTCTGGTGGTGCTGGCGGTGGTGGTGCTGCTGGTGGTGCTGGTGGTGGTGCTGGTGGTGCTGGTGGTGGTGGTGGTACTGGTGCTGGTGGTGGTGGTGCTGGTGGTGCTGCTGCTGCTGCTGTGGGACACTGGGTAGAGAGAGAGATGAACAGTGGGAACATAGACATGGAGTAGAGAGAGAGGGGGTAGAGAGAGGGGGGGGGTAGAGAGAGAGGGGGCAGAGAGAGAGGGGGGATATAGAGAGAGGGGGTAGAGAGAAGGGGGGAATAGAGAGAAAGGGGGTAGGGAGAGAGGGGGTAGAGAGAGAGGGGGTAGAGAGAGAGGGGGGGTAGAGAGAGAGGGGGTAGAGAGAGAGAGGGGGTAGATAGAGAGGGGGGGTAGAGAGAGAGGGGGTAGAGAGAGAGAGGGGGTAGAGAGAGAGGGGGTAGAGAGAGGGAAGGAGTAAGAAGGAGGAGAGCAGAGCATGAAATCTTTCGTGAAATCTGTCATTTAAAAGGGGGGGGGGGGGCACATAAAGCAAAGCATTGGAAAAAACAAAAAAACCCCGAAATGATGAACGAAGCAAAGTGCCGACTATACCGAGCATCTTCTTGTTTCCTCTGATCGTAAAAGAGAGAGAGAGATGGCGGCAAGACACACACAGAGAGAGAGAGGTGGGGAGAGAGAGAAAAACAAAATGCAAATTGAGAAAACCGTGAGGAAGAGAGTGGGGAGGGAGGAGAGAGGTAGAAATGAGAGCGGCTGGAAGGGAAACATGGAGAGAGAGAGGCGAGGGGTGGGGTGGGAACTGGACAGAGAGTGAGTGGAAAAGATGAGGGGAGGAGGGAGTGGGGTTATGAGAGAGGGCGACAGCAGACGGACGAGAGAGGGAGGCAGAGGGGGGGGGGGAGACATGGATAAGGAGGGCGATAAGGAGAGAGATAAACTGAACACGTCGATAATGGGACACTGATGATCAGACAGGTGCACGCTTCAACTGTTTGCATCATCAACATCATCACCACCAACATCACCAACATCATCACCATCATCATCATAAACATCATCACCAACATCATCAACATCATCATCACCGACATCATCACCAACATCAACATCATCAACATCATCACTATCAACATCACCACCGTGTTGTCCACACTGATGGGTATATTAATCGATCTCTGTGTCCTGGTGTTTGTCTGTGGCGTGCACACAATCGTGTGTAGGGGTGCGTGCGTGTGTCCGTGCACAAGTAGAAAGATCCCGTCCCTCCCCGTGTAGCCCACATTGACTCTTGGGGCAAGGGCTTATTATTGAACGCCGATTAAGGTTGGCACGTCGCACGACAGCGTGGTGTGGCCATAACCACGCCCGGCCGCCTTTGTCTCCCCAGTGCTCACATCTGTATATGTCACGCAGTTTGGTCGTGGTGGTGGTGCTGTTTGTGAACGTCATGGGGAGCGGTGGCGCAGCGGTTAACGCACTCCGCAACGAACCCGGCGACCAGCGTTCGATTGCCCCACACGGCCAGCGTCAGTGGAAAATATTTGAACCGCCCCTGGGTCTCCCCTAGGTCAACTCAACCTTAAAAGGGTAGCTAGCTGCCACGTGTAAAAACACAGGCACTGGGGAGACGAAGGCGGCTGGGCGTGATGCTGGCCACCCAGCCCCTCGTGTGCCCTGCCGGCCTTCTTCATAGCTGCTACTCACAAACAGCACTCGCCCCTAAACAGCATGCTAAAAGGCTATACGGGGGATATTGGTTCGTCAAAAGTGGATTGAAGGCAAAGGTGGCCTCGTGTAGCATGGCACGGTTTGCCTCGGCTACACCACCACCGTTATTATTTAATCGTTGCAACTTAATGGGTGCTCGCTAACAGCATGCGGCCCGAATTGTGAGTCCATCACCTGACAATTGTTGACCTCTCTCTTTCTCTCCCTTTGTCCCTCTCTCTCTCTTCCCGCCCACCCTCTCAAAGGACAGTTGGACCCGAGAGATGGGGTGAGAGTACGTATACACACCACCAACACGTCACACACACACACACAACAACACGTCACACATACACCAACACGTCAACAACAACAACAACAACCGCCATTCGCCACAAAGTGGCGGTGACGTCACCACGACGCTTGTGCCAGGCTATGTGCACGTTAAGGCCACGTGAAGTGTCGAACGCCCGCTGGCAGGAGGTCACGGGACAGACCCAGGTGCCACGGGTCGACTGACTGAGATGACTGGCTGATGCACCACCTGTGCCCCCTACTGTGCCAACTTGCTGTGCTTTAGCCACCCGGCGCTCCGCTCGATGTTGTGAGCGTCGCTCCTCCGCCCTCCGTTGTTGTTGGAGGGTGACTGCCTCCAACTGGTCAGTAGCGTCCTTCACGAGTCTCCTCCACAGAGGCCGATCTTTACACCACTGGTACCAGTCATCGGCAAGTCCACTCAGCTCCACATCCTCCTGTACCAAATCACTCCATCTCTTCTCTAGCCTGCGCCGCGCCCGTTTAGCCCCCTCTATCCGGCTGAACAAAAGCTATTTAGGCATGCGGTGGCTGGGCATGCGGGCTACATGACCCAACCAATGCAGCCTTGCCTGCCAGAGGAGCTCACTGATGGGACTTTGTCCACATCTTTCAAGGATTTTGTGAGCTCCTCACACAATCGAATATTGTTAAACCCAGGATGGATCGAAGGCAGGCCAGCCTAAATGTTTATAACCGACGAATATGTTCCATCAGGGGGGTCCACATTTCGCAAGCGTAGAGAAGGGAGGGATTGACCGTAGCCAAGAAGACCTGAAGCTTCGTGTGCAGCGACAGACCAGGTACAGTGAGGGAAAAAAGTAACATTTCTGACATGCGTTTTTTTGGATTTTGTTGTTGTTATTCTGTCTCTCACTGTTCAAATAAACCTACCATTAAAATGATAGACTGATCATTTCTTTGTCAGTGGGCAAACGTACAAAATCAGCAGGGGATCAAATACTTTTTTCCTCACTGTAGCTTCCACACAGCGTTACGCAACCGATGAAAGATAATGCCACTCGACTGATTCGGAGTGAGACGTCTGCTGTCAAACCGGAGCCGGTCATGAGCATACTGCCCAGGTATGGGAAACTCTCCACTCTCTCCACAACTGCCCCATTACCAATTGAGAGTTGTGGGGGTGGAGTTTCCGATGGTACAAAAATACAAAGGCAGGTGCTTAGTTTTGGTGGGGCTGATGGTAAGGCCCCACCTGTTAGTGGCAAGCTCCAGGTTCAGCAGCAGCGCCTCCAACTCCTCCTCTGAGTGAGCAGCAATTACCAGATCATTGGCATACATAACATGGTTGACCAATAGGGAGCCATCCCTTGCCGCAACTGGGCATCGATCAGCCTCCCATTGTATCTGTACCAGATGAAAATTCCTCCATACAGCCATCCAAGGCTTCACAAACTACGTGGTCGAAATAGATGTAAACAAAATGTGAGAGCCAGAGGACATCCCTGTCGCACTCCAAGGTGATCAGGAAATGGCTCCGACTCCCAGCCACGTAGTCCGCTCACCATCATGAAGGTTCTTAATGATCATGAGCAGCGGGTTAGGGACTCCGAAAGCACGAAGAACAACCCAGAGCCCATACCTACTGATGGTATCATAGGCCTTGACCAGGTGAATAAAGCAGAGATGTAGGTCTTGTTGGAATTCTCTACACCTCTGCTGTAGCAGACAGACAGAAAATATGGCATCTGTGCAGGACCACCCTTTCCTAAAACCTCACTGGGGCTCCTCAAGCCTCTCCTCAGCATGCCTGGCAAGGCGATGTTGAATAATCCTTGCCAGAACCTTTCCCGGCACACTGAGGAGTAAGATGCCCCTGTAGTTGTTACAGTTTGTGCAGTCCCCCTTCTTTCAAAGGGGACCACCAGGGCATCCTTCCAATCGTGCGGAACCCAGCCAGTGGTCCAGACTGTTATGATCTCATGTAGGGCAGTCTGTGCACAAACTGAGCGAAGACTCTGGTAAGCCTCCTAATGAGGAGGCTTACCAGAGTCTTCGCTCAGTGGGATGCTGTCGACGATGAGAGTGGACCTGTCGCTTTTTCTCAGCCAGCCTGAACACCTCCTCTGTCAGCCAGGATCTCTGAGGAGGTCTGGACCGTGTACCTAAAGCTACCATTGCAGTTGCATGAGCCACAGTCCTAAACCTCGCCCATTTCCCGTCGACATCAGGAGGAGTGAGGGACGATGCCAACCCCAGCCGCAAGCGATGATGAAATTCTCGCTTGCAACTTTCATCAGCTAGCTGAGACCATGCCATTATGGGTTTGAGTGGGGTCCTGGGTGTACACCCACCACCGGAGTGGAAGAATTGCAGGCGCATCTTACAGATGACAAGTCAGTGGGCAGATCAGCTCCACAGTAGGTCCTGGTGTCAAGGACATGGGCCCGCATCCGCTGTTCCGTCACTATGTAGTCCAGCAGATGTACTTACTTAGACCCGGCATGCGTCCATGATGTTGTGTGGATGCGCCGATGCTGGAAAAGCGTGTTCGTAATTACAAGCCCATGGGCTGCACAAAAATCTAGCAGCCTCCTGCCGTTGTTATTGAGCTGATCTGGCCCATGCCTTCAAATCACTCCAGACCAGGTGCCAGCATCATGACCAACTCGGGCATTGAAGTCACCCAACAAGATGACTCTATCCCGAGGGGCCACTTTCGCTAGCACCTGTGACAGGAGGTCATAGAAAGCATCTGACTTATCGGCCTTGCCTGCATCCCTCCACGGATGTTCGTCTTCGGTGGGGGCATGGAAATACAGTTCACCATGGGAGTGAAGTTCACCATGGGAGTCCAGTTTACCATGCAAGTCCAGTTTACCATGGAAATACAGTTCACTATGGAAGTCCAGTTTACCATGCTAGTCCAGTTTACCATGGAAATACAGTTCACTATGGATGTCCAGTTTGCCATGCTAGTCCAGTTTACCATGGAAATACAGTTCACTATGGATGTCCAGTTTACCATGCTAGTCCAGTTTACCATGGAAATACAGTTCACTATGGATGTCCAGTTTACCATGCAAGTCCAGTTTACCATGGAAATACAGTTCACTATGGATGTCCAGTTTACCATGCTAGTCCAGTTTACCATGGAAATACAGTTCACTATGGATGTCCAGTTTACCATGCTAGTCCAGTTTACCATGGAAATACAGTTCACTATGGATGTCCAGTTTACCATGCTAGTCCAGTTTACCATGGAAATACAGTTCACTATGGATGTCCAGTTTACCATGCTAGTCCAGTTTACCATGGAAATACAGTTCACTATGGATGTCCAGTTTACCATGCAAGTCCAGTTTACCATGGAAATACAGTTCACTATGGATGTCCAGTTTACCATGCTAGTCCAGTTTACCATGGAAATACAGTTCACTATGGATGTCCAGTTTACCATGCTAGTCCAGTTTACCATGGAAATACAGTTCACTATGGATGTCCAGTTTACCATGCTAGTCCAGTTTACCATGGAAATACAGTTCACTATGGATGTCCAGTTTACCATGCTAGTCCAGTTTACCATGGAAATACAGTTCACTATGGATGTCCAGTTTACCATGCTAGTCCAGTTTACCATGGAAATACAGTTCACTATGGATGTCCAGTTTACCATGCTAGTCCAGTTTACCATGGAAATACAGTTCACTATGGATGTCCAGTTTACCATGCTAGTCCAGTTTACCATGGAAATACAGTTCACTATGGATGTCCAGTTTACCATGCTAGTCCAGTTTACCATGGAAATACAGTTCACTATGGATGTCCAGTTTACCATGCTAGTCCAGTTTACCATGGAAATACAGTTCACTATGGAAGTCCAGTTAACCATGCTAGTCCAGTTTACCATGGAAATACAGTTCACTATGGATGTCCAGTTTACCATGCAAGTCCAGTTTACCATGGAAATACAGTTCACTATGGATGTCCAGTTTACCATGCTAGTCCAGTTTACCATGGAAATACAGTTCACTATGGATGTCCAGTTTACCATGCTAGTCCAGTTTACCATGGAAATACAGTTCACTATGGATGTCCAGTTTACCATGCTAGTCCAGTTTACCATGGAAATACAGTTCACTATGGATGTCCAGTTTACCATGCAAGTCCAGTTTACCATGGAAATACAGTTCACTATGGATGTCCAGTTTACCATGCTAGTCCAGTTTACCATGGAAATACAGTTCACTATGGAAGTCCAGTTTACCATGCTAGTCCAGTTTACCATGGAAATACAGTTCACTATGGATGTCCAGTTTACCATGCTAGTCCAGTTTACCATGGAAATACAGTTCACTATGGATGTCCAGTTTACCATGCTAGTCCAGTTTGCCATGGAAATACAGTTCACTATGGATGTCCAGTTTACCATGCAAGTCCAGTTTGCCATGGTAATACAGTTCACTATGGAAGTCCAGTTTACCATGCTAGTCCAGTTTACCATGGAAATACAGTTCACTATGGAAGTCCAGTTTACCATGCTAGTCCAGTTTACCATGGAAATACAGTTCACTATGGAAGTCCAGTTTACCATGCTAGTCCAGTTTACCATGGAAATACAGTTCACTATGGATGTCCAGTTTACCATGCTAGTCCAGTTTACCATGGAAATACAGTTCACTATGGAAGTCCAGTTTACCATGCTAGTCAAGTTTACCATGGAAATACAGTTCACTATGGATGTCCAGTTTACCATGCTAGTCCAGTTTACCATGGAAATACAGTTCACTATGGATGTCCAGTTTACCATGCAAGTCCAGTTTACCATGGAAATACAGTTCACTATGGATGTCCAGTTTACCATGGAAATACAGTTCACTATGGAAGTCCAGTTTACCATGCTAGTCAAGTTTACCATGGAAATACAGTTCACTATGGATGTCCAGTTTACCATGCTCGTCCAGTTTACCATAAAAATACAGTTCACTATGGAAGTCCAGTTTACCATGCAAGTCCAGTTTACCATGGAAATACAGTTCACTATGGAAGTCCAGTTTACCATGCTAGTCCAGTTTACCATGGAAATACAGTTCACTATGGATGTCCAGTTTACCATGCTAGTCCAGTTTACCATGGAAATACAGTTCACTATGGATGTCCAGTTTACCATGCTAGTCCAGTTTACCATGGGAAACCTGCGGCCCCGGGGCCGCATGCGGCTCATCAAGGACTGTATCGTGGCCTAATTTATCAAGGACCCACCCTCTCGTATTCACCACGTGGCATTGCGGCTCTTGAAGTATTGGAGGTTATTTTTCACCGAAAAAAAAAAAAACGCAGGGCGAGTGTGGGCAACAGATCACTTAATCAGAATCAGAAGAATATTTATTTAGACTGGAGGAGGAATCCGACGTGCCATGAAATTCTTATTTCACAGATGTCCAGTCGGGGCGGGTCACAAAGTTAAAACAACAGACAATACAACACATGACAGGAGTGGAAAATGTAGGACAGGTAAGCAAGTCGCGAAAATAAAAATAAAATGAATTGAGTACATAAGTACAATTAGCAAACGTTTTTCAATTCCTGACAATTTTTCAACACTAAATGCAAGCTTGGGCAAGGCAGAAAAACAACAGCAACAACAACAGCAGTCCCAGACCACAGCAAGACAACAACAACAACCACAACAACACAGTCCCCCGATAAAATTAAAGAGCGTAAATCTTAGAAGTAGTTCTGCGAAACGCCGCTTTCCAAGGACCGCTCTCCGACACGGCCTCATGCACGACTGTGCGAGAATGGCTTCTCGCGACACAACTGGGACTAAAGACGTCTTTAACAACAACAACAACCCCGCTAGTCTCTCGTTATCCATTTTACGCGTGCTCAGCAATATTAACACTTTCCTGCTCCCGCGCAGAAGCCTCGGCTCACAAAGTGGACAGCAGCAGTGCCACGCCAATCAACATCAACCAAACTCCGCCCACTGTGTGTAAAGATATTGCAACTACTGTACTGTAGAGGCGATCACGTGGATTTCGGATTAACCGGAGCAGCACATTTGTTGTAAAGATTTCCAAGAATAATAATATATAACTGTTTTTAGATTGCTAATTTGGGCTGAAGGGACAATCTCAGGTGCGCTGTCAATCCACAAATCGGATAAACCGCACGCTGGTAATAGAGAATCTACCACAGAAAATGTTCCCCGTGGCTCTCACTCCATTTACGCTAATGAACGGTAACGCGATCAAATTGTCCTTCTAAGCTGCGAGGCCCTCCGTCATTCCACCACAAACGAGATTGCGCGCGCGCACACGCACACACACGCGTGTACACACGCGTGTGCGCGCGCGTAACGGGCGTCTGCATGTCGATTTCGAATTGCTAGCCCGTGAATCACGCGGGCCCCGCTCTCTTGCACGAGAGGGCTCGTCACCGAGGCTCGAGACTTTGTTCGCTAGAAGACGTGTCCTGCTCCGTCGCGATGTTCGGTCGATTCGACTCGCGGGAACGCGGTTTGCCTGCGGGAGACGGAAACCGGATTGGCCGCAGGAGAACCATTGCTCGCGCGGGGATAACACTCAAAGCTCCACACACATGGATCCTTGAATCCATTGCTGTACTTTGCCATCACCCCCGTACACCTCCCCGAGCCCAAGCCTACGACACCTGTGGTATTTTGATTTAAAGCTTTCGTGACTGCAGGGATTCATCTTCTTGGTTCTTTCGGTAAAGTCACGTAGAAGGGAAATAATAAAATAATAAAAATAAAACATAATAAAATACAATTCTCACGACGTTTCGGCCACAACGCAAGCAGCCGTCCTCAGGTGAAGAACAGGTCTGTCAGAAAGACAGCGTCTGAATGAATGATTCATGCAGACGCTGTCTCTCCGACAGACCTTGCGTTGTGGCTGAAACGTCGTGAGAACAATTTTATTATGTTGTATTTTTATTATTTTATTATTTCCCTTCTACGTGGCTTTACCGAAAGAACCAAGAAGATGAACCTGTGGTATTCTTATTTCGTACGGCAAGGTGATGTGAGCCACGTTACATTCATCGGGTGCGCCTCAATAACCTCCTTCCATTCTTCGCTTGCAGCCTCACCTCCATCGCCCATTCTCTTCGTCTTCCCTCCCCTCCCCTCGCCCCCCCCCCCTTTCACCCCTTCCCATCCCTCCCCTAACCTTTCGTCATCCCTAAGCATCCCTCTATCGCTGTCACTCAATCCTCAACCCTTATAGCCACGCCCCTGCCATCCAAGTCATTCTATTCTGTTAACGTTTTTTTTTTTTTAAACTTGTGTCGTGCGCCTAAGCCATGATCAGAAATCGAACTCAGGCTTGGCCAGGGTTCGTCGCGCTAACCGCTGCGCCACCGCTCCCCGCAATACGGCAGAACGCTCACTCGCTCGGCTGGCTGGCAGTAGTCGATTATCAGCGTAAGGCACTACCACTAGAGTAGAAGTTATCGCTTGTTCATAATAAATTCCAAGTATAATTGTACCCTACGTTACTAAAATCCGACGAATGGTTGTTGTAGAACAAAATGAAGGGCAGATGGATGTGACGTGCCCAAGAAATACCCGGGGGAGCGTTCGGGACTGGTTCCGTCTGAAAGTACACAGCACTCAAAACGGCAAATAGAGTTTGATTGTACAGGGCGCTGTACACACGTTCAGCATCGCGGGGAGCTCTACGGGATGGTCCAGATGTCTCGTGTCCCCCAATTAATGATAACTGCATATTCTCTGCACACGCTCAGATGTATGTTGATTAACTGCGAATAGCCCAACCAATAATAGGTTCTGCAATTTAGCAAATTAGCATGATCCATTGTAACGTATATGACGAAATTAACCCCCCCCCCCCTCTTGTTTTCGCATTTGATAGGACCACAGTGATGGCATCACCTTTACCCCCTCTATTTAAGACCGAAATACTGTAGGAGGACTTTCTTCACAACTCTGGCTATCGCCTGACGAGGCTGGTTGTAATTACTGGCGAAACGTCGCAGTACTCGAATTGTAAATGTTCGTGGGTTTACTCTCCAACACACGTGTGCTGAACTGGTAACTAATTGGCACGTTTTGTTTACGTGGAAAACCTTACTAATTGGCTGTGTCAGGTGGTGGCAGGTTTAACGACACATTTATATTTACGTGATCTAACCCCCCCCCCCAAAAAACTGTATTATGGATAATATTGGTCGTGAAAGCCTAATACGTAATAAACTGACCCCCAATTAATATTGACCCCAAATTTACTTTTCCTTTGCCTATTAACTTCTCTTTTAAATAAACCTTCCTTGAAAAAAATATAATTAAGGTTTAGAGGATTCACTGGCGGGGGGGGGGGGTCACAAGACATCTGGACCAGTCCCTGTAGTATAAAAACAAAATCTAATTGGGCAATTAAATCACTGCATCTCAGGCGGAGCAAGCTAACTCGAATATGTTTCTTCATTAAATTTCGATTGTGGCACTGACAGTGTCTTCCATCCCCCCCTCCCTCCTCCATTGATTCCTCCATCTGCTACGACTGCATATGATTGGCAAGTGCTGTTAGCGAGCACCTATTAGGGCCCGCAAGGCACAAGAGGGGGATGGGTGGCCGGCACCACGCCCGGCCGCGTTTGTCTCCCCAGGGGCGATGATTACGACACACCACACCAGGTACTCATTTGAGGCTGAGTCGACCTAGGGGAGGCCGAGGACAGGTTTAGATAGTCGCCATTGGTATTGGTCGTGAGTGGGAATCGCGCGCGGGTCGTCGGGTTCGTAGCGTCACGGTGGCTAGGAGATGTTAACTCCCTCGCCAAGCGTGCAGGAGGTCGTGGGTTTGATCCCGACCTGATGCCTGCTGCTGTATATTTAGAGTTTGCGTGTCTTTCTCCTCGTAGTCACGTGGACTTTTTTCTCGGGGATCCTCCGGTTTTTCCCTCCACATTTAGAATCCACATCACGCGTTGCAGAGTATTTGGCAGATATACATTTCCACACGATGATAAGCCACTTCCTTGAGCCATCATTTGTGACCAGTAGCGCAGCATGCTAACCGCTCCCCACACACGCTCGCACGCGCGCACACCCGCACACGTGCGCGCGCAGGGTGTGTCGTCTCGCGTGGCCGAGCTTCTCCGGTACCGCTGGAGCTTCCCCCAGTCCTGGAGCCGCTGCTGGAGCCGCTGCTGGAGCCGCTGCTGGGCAGCGCTGTGCGCCTGCCTGGAGCCGAGCCACGACCAGGAGGAGGTGCAGATCCTGGGCCCCTTCCCGGCGCCCACTCCGCCCTGGCTGTGAGTCCCACACGGAGCCACCAGAGCCTCCTGCTGAGTGGGGCGCGTTCACAGAGTGTACCCAACAAACACTGGCACATCCACTTTGACGCGCCCTCTCGCTCCGTGTCTCGTCGCGCGCTCTCGTCGCAGGCTGGAGGAGCGCGATGGCGACGCGGAGGCCATGGTCGTGTCGGCGCACGCTCACCCCGCGGCGGCTGCCGCCAGGGACGGCCCCGCCAGGACAACGTCGCTGTCGACGTCGTCGTCGTCGTCGACGTCGTCGCGAGTGCCCTCCTCCTACAGCCTCGCTAGCCGCAGGGTCTCCGGTAAGATCTGGCACCCCACCCCCACCGCCCCCCGGAGATGTCAAAATATATCCCAGAAAGAATTCCGACATCCATAACCTCAACACGGCGCCTTTCGTCCGCCTTGCTCAGATCTGCCCGGTGAAGCTGGTTGTAATCGTCGGGATTGATTCTCCCGACACGCAGGCAACGTGCCGATCGGCACGTTTCGTTCACGTGGCAAACCAGCTAACTTCACTATTTGTTTTTTTATTTCACCAGGCAAGGCCCACTGAGCGACCTAGCTCAACGAAATGGCTTATCAAGTGGACATTTATAACAGCCAAAATAATGTCAATAATCTAAATGTGGAGGGAAAAATCGGAGGACCCGGAGAAAAATCCACGTGACCACGGAGAGAGAGAGAGAGACACGCAAACTCCAAATATACAACAGGCGTCAGGGTCAGGATCAAACCCACGACCTCCATACCAGGCGAGGTAGTTAACATCTCGCCACCTTGGCACCCTTTCTGATTGGCTGCGTCGGCTGGCGGTGGATTTTAACGGCGCATTTATATTTACGCGATCTCACCCAAAACAACAAAGGCAAACCTCGATTTACGAATTATTCTGGGCAAACCTGAAACGTTGCATTCTGGTGCTATGGGCGTGCAGTGCGTGTGCTCTCTCTCTCTTTCTCCTGGACCACCTCCACTGGCTCCTCTCCCGTGAGCGAACCGACCGTGCGCCATGCGTTGTGCGGACCACGCGCGTATTTAACGAGACCGACGGTGAGAAGCGTTGGGGCCGATGGAAAGAGCGGCTCGCTGTGATGGGGAGCGATGGCCTCGATTGAAAAGTTGTGACCCCCGTGGCGAGTAGCCATCGGTTGGGGTTGGTAGGGAAGGTGGAGGGTGGGGGTGGGGCAATGGAAAATATTCCATGAGAAATCAAGCTCTGTGGGGGGGCTGAGCTGGCAAGGGTGGGATCCTAGGTCCTGGTTCCAAATGCTGTTTCCAGCCACCTGCCCTTTGAACTGGAGTTGATTTCTGGGTACGTTCGCTCCTACGGGGGTGACATTCCGCTGCTTGCAGTGAGCGTTGCAAATCGGATGTTGTCCTCGCATCGCCCCGTTCGATCGCTCACCCCCCATCGCTTCCGTAAACCAACCACCCCGTCGCCCGCCGGTCATCCATCTCATCAACCACCCCCTAACCTCCCCCATCATCTCCCACCATCACCCACCCTAATCACGCATCTCCATCGCCTCCCCCCACCCCATCGCGTCCATCGCCGCCAACGTCGTTCGCCAGGCCTGGACTCGTACCGCCGCTCCAGCTCCTCGGCGCCGGACAGCCCGGGGCCCCGCGTCACCGCGGCGCCGCTGCCGCCCGACCCGTGGCCCCGCCCGGGGCCGGGCCGCACCGAGGCCGGGCGGCCCGCGCAGCGCGTGGTGGCGGCGCCGCCCCCGTCGCCGACGACGACGACAGCGTCGCGGCGGCACGACACCCGCGGCTCCGTCCGCCACGCCGAGCGGCCCAGCAACATCGAGCCGCGCCTCTACCGCGCCGACTCGGGCGCCGGCGGCGGCGGCGGAGACGCCGGCGGCGACGCGGACTCGCTGACCGACGAGGAGGTCCTGTCGCGCTACCGGCTGGGAGCGCTGCACTTCAGCGCGCAGTACGACCTGCCGCACGGCCGCCTGCTCGTGCGGGTCATCGAGGCGCGCGAGCTGCCGCGCCCCTCGACCCGCACGCGCCACGGCCACGGCCCCGGCGAGGGCGTCGCGGGCGCCGTCGCGGGCGTCACCTCGCTGCGCCGCCGCGATTCGCCGCCGCCGCACTCCAACCCGTACGTGAAGCTCTGCCTGCTGCCCGACCAGAAGAACTCGCGGCAGACGGGCGTCCGCCGCAAGACGCAGGACCCGCTGTTCGAGGAGCGCTACTCCTTCGAGCTGCCCTTCGTCGAGGCGCAGCGGCGCACGCTGGCGCTCACCGTGCTCGACTTCGACAAGCTGTCGCGCCACCGCGTCGTCGGCAAGGTGGCCATGCCGCTCGCCGAGGTGGACCTGGTCAAGGGGGGCCACTGGTGGAAGCCCATCGTGCCCAGCTCGCAGGTGCGCGCACCTCTCCGCGGAGGCCCAACAAATCCCCCTCCGGTTAAATCTGCCCGATCGGGGTGGGGCGCTTGTAATCACCTTCGCTGAAACACATCACGAAAGTACCCGGATTGTCAGGTGTTTGTGGGTTTACACCCTCCACCAACACGCACACATCAAGGTGTGTGCGTGTGTCTTTGTGCTCAGGGAGTGACTAATGGGCAACATTTTGTTGTGCGTGACAAACCTTGCTAATTGGCTATGTCGGATGGTGGTAGGTTTAAGGACACATTTATAAAACTAAACTATTTTTTATTTTACTTTACGAGGTAAGGCCTCACTGAGCTGTATAGTTCTTTGTCAGAAGCGACCTAGCTATCACAAATGATAGCTCAACGAAGTGGCTCGTCGCGTGGCAATTTATAGCAGCCAAACGTGGAGGGAAAAACCGGACAACCCGGAGAAAAATCCACTCGACCATGGGGAGAGAGAAACGCAAACTCAAAATATACAGCAGGCGTCAGGGTCAGTTTCGAACCCACGACATCCTGCATACCAGGCGAGGTTCACTCCTGATTGCTAATAAAGCTAAATGTGGCGCTTGGGCAGGACACGTCGCTCGAAAGGACGCTAGCCGGTGGTCGAGACTAATCGCAGAGTGGCAGTCAAGGGAAGGAAACACGAGCAGAGAGCACATCCAGCGGAGGGATGGAGGGGGCGCTTGACACATTGTTGCAGGAACTGATCCACGTTTATATTCTCCATCGAGGTCCCCGAGATCTTAGAGTCTCAGAAGGCGCTCTGACTAAATATAAATTAGATTGCTGTACAGTACTTCTACGCTTCCACGTCCGCGCGCCCCGCTTTCACCGAGACGCGCTGACCAGCGTGGTGAAGTATGGTCAAATAGCCCGTCGGGTCCCGCGCTATGAGACCTTGGTGCTGACCTACAATCCACTCGATGGGTTGGCCCCGCAACATTGACAACGAGGTGCCGCAGATCTTGGGATCGCCGTCTTTGAAGCACTCCGAGCTCAAGGACTCCGTGCCTGGGGGTGATCGCGATTTTGCCCCGCGCTGTGCAGCCCCCAGACTATGGAACGACGCTTTGCCCTTGCTGATAAGACGGAGTCGTTAGATTTATATTTAAAACTCTTGAAATTGGCCTTTATACACCCCTGCCTATATCTGGCCGTTCACCCTGCGGGTCCTGCTCGTTTCCTGGCTTTCCATACAACGGCGGTGGCGCTTTGGTGCCATCTACGGATGAAATGCGCCGACTTACAAATGTAAATGATCATTATTTGGGGCATAGGACCGTTCGAGTTGTTGATGGTTTGGGGAGGCCTTTTTGTCCAATGGTGGGAGGACAAGATCTGATGACGACGACGACAATGACCACGATGAAGACGATGACGATGACGCGCGTGCGTGCGTGTGTGTGGGACCGCAGAGTGGGGAGCGGTAGCGTAGCGGTTTAGTGCGCTACGCTACGAACCCAGTGACCCGAGTTCGATTCCCGCTCATGGCTATCACCGGTGACGATTATAAATGATCTGAACCGGTACTGGGCCTCCCCTAGGTCGACTCAGCCTCAAATAAGTAATCCGGTGCGGTGAACATCGCCGCTGGGGAGACAGAATGCGGCAGGGTGCGGTGCTGGCCACCGAACCCCTTCGTGTGCAGTTTGACACGTCTGCTTTCGCGACCAATATTATTCATAATCAACGTTTTTGGGTTTAGATCGCGTTATTTATAAATGTGTCGTAACCCTCCACCACTCGACACGGCCAATCAGTAAAAAAGTGTCACGTTGACAAAAGACAAATAGTTCACTGCTTTAGCCCACCGGTGTGTTGAAGCATGAAACCACAACATTTACAATTTTTGAGTAGCACGATGTTTCGCTGGTAATTGCATCCGGCAATTCGCCAGAATGGTGAGGCTCTGCGCTCTGGCTCCCGGTCTTAAATAGAGCAGCAGCAGCAGCAGGGTGACGTCATCATTAACTCATCAACTCATCAGGTGCAACGATTTGAGGCCACGGGTGCCGGTGGCTTCCATGTGCTCTGCTGCTCGCTAACAGCGCTTTGCCCCGACAGTTTGTTGAGGGGTGGGGGGGGGATCTTTGTCTTTGATTGCAGAGCGAGGTGGAGCTCGGCGAGCTGCTAGTGTCCCTCAACTACCTCCCCAGCGCCGGGCGACTCAACGTCGAGATCGTCAGGGCCAAGCAGCTCCTACAGACCGACATGGCGCAGGGTTCAGGTTCGACACTGGGCCCTGGTGCCCTCGGCTCTCCACCACAGAACGACTCTTACCGTACTGACTGACCGTATTCTTGCCATCCTCCCTGGATTATGACGCAGTTATTTGCCCTGGATTTTAAAGCAGAGGTCTGGGGCGTGTTGCGTCTTACCAGCCAATTTTTTTTTTATGTGGGCGCGAGAGAGATGTTAACTCCCTCGCCTGGTGTACGGGAGATTGTGGGTTCGACCCTGACCCTGACGCCTGCTGCTGTATTTGGGGTTTGTGCGTTTCTCTCCCCCCGTGGTCGCGTGGATTTGTCTCCGGGTCCTCCTGTTTTTCCCTCCATATTTAGAACGAACGTGCGCGAGAAGGATTTGGCTGCTACACATTTCCGCGTGAGAAGTCATTTCATTGAGCTATCATTAATGATAGCCAAGTCGCTTCTGAAAAGAGCCGTGTTACTCCGTGGGCCTTACCGAGTAAAAAGATAAATCAAGAGTTTGCGTCGTTTAAATCGTTTTAATCTGAACGAGACAACTGAGTTACCATGCGATCATTGTGTTACCGAAAGGTACGTTGTAATCTAGTTGATCGGTCCAAACTTCCGGAAGACGTTTGATGATTTCCATGTTTTCTTCGAGGTGTTAGTTCATTCTAGGTGCTTGGCTTTCGTCATTTTTGGTGTTGACGCAGGTCACTCGTGCGGACGAGACTCGTGCTGCCCTCCTTTTAGTTCTCACCGAGTTTAAGCAAAAGTCAACAAACGTATTTCTCACAGCATAATCACCTTCTGGAAGATCGCTTCCCCCGCAAAGTACCACATTCTCTCAATTATAAAACACGCCCTCGTTTTTTTTTCCCAGCGTCCGTTCCGTGTTTCCTAACTTCATCATTTCTCGATATCTGACATCCTCGTTTTACCCTTTTTTCCCCGAGACACCCTTGTACTCTGAATGATGACCGTAACCCTCCTCTTGACTCCCACGCGTTTCATTCAATCAGGGTTTAGCAACAAGCAAAAAAAAGTCCAGCCGTAATCTGGTCCCGAGCGTCGTAAACGGCGCAGATTCTATTTGAAGACCGAGATTGTGTTTGTGCGCCCGTGTGGTCCGTGTGTGTGCTCGTGTGTGTGCTCGTGTGTGTGCTCGTGTGCGTGGGGAGCGGTGGCGCCGACGTTACGAACCCGGCGGACCCAAGTTCGATTCACCGCTCACGGCCAACAACACCGGTGACGATTGTCTGAACCGGTCCTGGGCCTCCTCTAAGTCGACTCGGCATCAAATGAGTACCTGGTGGGGCGTGTAAACGTTGTCACTAGAGAGACAAAGGCGGCCGGGCGTGGTGCCGTCCACCCACCCCCTCGTGTGCCGTGCCGGCCTTCATAGGTGCTACTCGCTAACAGCACTTGCCCCAGCAGTCTGTTCAGGCTATATGGGGGATCTTTGTCTTTGTGGATCGGTAGTGCAGCAGTTAGCGCGCTGCACTACCAACCTAGCGACCCCAGTAAATAGTGATGATTATTTGAACCGGTCCTGGACCTCCCTTAGGTTGACTCAAATGAGTACCCGGTGCGGTGTGTAGTAAACATCGCCACGCGGGGGAGACAAAGACGACCGGGCGTGGTGGCGACCACCCAACCCCCCTCGTGTGCCGTGCCGGCTTTCGTAGGTCCTCCTCGATAACAGCACTTGCCCCAACAGTCCGCTAGGGCCACCCGGGGTACCTTCGTCTTTGCATGGCTTATTTGTGTCCCTCAATTTGATTTGGCGCTCTCGATGCCACGCGGGGGGGCTCTGCGAGCCACTCGCTCCACCGCTGAGCCACCGGCCCGGTTTATAATCTCGGTGGAAGGTGCCTGACCTTTGATGCCATCCAAGGACCATTTGTGCTGCTCAGCTCATCCTGAAGGGGCCTCTGTCCTGTGTGCATGTCCGATTGACGTTTGCCGGAGGGAGTTGTTGAGGTTGCCGGAGGGAGTGAACTCTCTCTGTCGCTCTCTCTCTCTCTCTCTAACCACTATCCGAGAACACCAACCCAATAAACTACAGATCCTATTCTTTTTTATTTTAGCAGGTTAGGCCCACTGAGTTGTGTAGCCCTTCTTCAGAAGCGACCTGTCACAAATTATAGCCCAAACGAAGTAGCTTAACATCGGACATTTATAGCAGCCAAATACTCAAAAATGCGCGATGTTGATTCTAAATGTGGAGGGAAAACCCGGAGGACCTCGAGAAATATCTACACGACCACGGGGAAAGAGACACGCAAACTCAAAATATACAGGAGTCAGGGTCGGGATCGAACCCACAACCTCCTGCATACCTGGGCGAGGCTGTTAACATCCGTGTACGAGCACAGGCACTGGGGTGGCTCTCAAGAGAGCAGGCGGTGCAACTGCACTGAGGCTCGTGCCTTAGAGGTGCCCAGGCGCCATACTACGAAGACAAGGTGGGGGGGGAGGTGCAAAATGGACAGGGGGCAGGGGCCCATTGCATTCACCCGAGGCGCCCACCCACCACGCTAACGCCGATTCGGCTGGAGCAAGTGACTCCTCCTTTTAATGGAAAGTTTCGTTGTAGTTGCTGGCCAATTTGTGTTTGACGGCAGTGGTTCTCAAGCGGTGGGTCGCGGCCCCTCTGGAAAAGCCTTCCCACAGGAGGGGCGGTGGGGGGGGGGCCGGGGAGCCCAGTCTGTGGCAAGGATACCGTGCAGGAGAAATTTTGAATGCCACGACAAACAAGTCGAGGACCGCTGCGGTTTTTGCAGGCGTCTGCGCCTCCCGCTCACTTTTGCAACGAAAAAATCAATGCAATTTCTGCCCCCCCCCCCTCCCACACACACGGTGGCCAGACCCGTTTGCGAGGGTGCAGCTGGTGCACGCACTCAAGGTGGTGAAGAGCAAGCGCACGGCGTGCATCCACGGCACCGTCGACCCCTTCTACAACGAGTCCTTCAGCTTCCACGTCACCCCCGACCTGCTGGACGACGTCAGCCTCGTGCTCACCGGTGAGTCCAGTCGCCGCCCGGTCGCGCGAGGCCACTGGATCCCCAGATACCCGGACCCTGGCTAACGGACCCTGGCCAACGGCCCCTGGCCGACGGCCCCTGGTACCTCCGACCCCCGACCACCGGTCCCCGTGAACCGCTTGGCGCGAGAGGAAGGGCCGAGGAGGGGATTGAACTAAAACTAAACCAGTGTGTTAATTTTTTTATTTTACCAGGTAAGGCCCACCGAGCTATGTACGATCTCTTTTTCAAAAGCTACCTGGCCACACGTGATTAGAGCACAACAAAGTGGCTCATCATCATCATGTGGACATTAACAGCAGCGGCGATATTCTCTAAACGCGTGATGTTGATTCAAAATGTGGAGGGGGAAATCCGGAGGACCCGGAAAAAAAAATCCACGGCACCACCGGGAGAGAGAGACACCGCAAACTCCAAATATACAACAGGCGTCAGGGTCGGGATTGAACCCACGACCTCCTGTATACAAGAGGCAGTTAACATCTCACCACCGTGGCACCAAAAGAGATGGCGCCAGGGTTAGCGTGGGGGATTAAGGCTGGGCTTCAGGGTTTGGGTCGGGGTTAAAGCCGGAGTTGGCATTGGGGCTAGGCCAGGGGTCAGCAACCCGTGGCTCTGGATCCGCGTGCGACTCTCTGCCAGGACCGCCGCTCCGTGACGTTGTTCATTCAGGACTCACCGTCTCGTATTCACCACGTCGCATATTGCGGCGCTCGAAATATATTGAGGTTTTATTTTTTTGTTACCGAATTCTAAACGAAAAAAAAACCCGGATCTTCTTGTCATTGTGTTTGCCGACCCCCGGGGTTAGGGATGAAGACCTGGGCTGGGACTTGCGTTAGTGTTCAGGATAGAATTAATGATAAGGGTTCGGGCTACGGGTAACAGGAATGGGTTCGGTATCGCAGTTCACGTTCAAGCCAGGGTTAATGATAAGGATATAATTGAGATTTGAGTTCAGCGTTGGGTTAGGAGGCTGTGGTTAGCACCAGCGTTTGGATTTGGATTAGGTTGACCCCTAAGATGGCTGGGGCTCTACGGCTCGGGCAAATGCTTGGCTCTGGCGCTCGGTCTGTACGTCCGCATGCGTTGTGTTTATGCGTCTACGTGTGCGCATCTGCGCGTGTGTGCGTGTGTGTGCACGCGCACGCCATAAAATGACTGCATCTCACAGGAATGGAACCATTAATCAAGCTATAAACCAGTGGACACACTCACGCAGAGCCATAGACCCAGCCCCATTTAGCCTGATGGAGCCGAGCTGCAACAGCTGTTAGCGAGCACCTATTAGGTCTGGCGGGGCACACGAGTGGGGGGGAGTGTGACCAGCGCCACCACAGCCGGGCCACCGCTGTCTCGCCAGCGCTGATTGTTGGCGCGCCATCCCGCTTCGCTCGCATGTGGCCGAGTTGACCGGGGAGAGGCCCAGGACACGTTGCGAATATTACCGGCCACCGACGGCGTGTGTCGACGACCAAGGGTTGAAATCCAGGTCACTGGGATTCTAGCTCAGAGCGCAAAAACCCAGATGAACATCTCGCCGGATATTTTTTCTCGGGTGGCTGGCAGACTGCGCCAGAGTCGGTTGATTGATACGCGACTCGTGGCCAAAGCGAGAGGTGCTTGCTGGATTCGGCGTTGCCCGTGTGCGGCACTGTTCTCTCGGGTCGCCGACAGAGACAGACTTGCCCGAAATGAATCCCCGCTTGTAACAACTGCAATCGCCGCACACACACAAGTCGCAGTGAATTCCTGCTCAAGTGAATTCCTGCTCAAGTGAGCATTGAAGTGGTTTCTCATGCCCCGCCAAAGTGGCTAGGAGATGTTAACTACCTCGCCTGGTCTACAGGAGGTCGTGGGTTCACTCCCCACCGCCGATCCCTGCTGTATATTTGGAGTTTCCGTGTCTCTCTCTCTCTCTGCCTGTGGTCGCGTGGATTTTTCTCCGGGTCCTCCGATTTCGCCCTCCACATTTAGAATCAACATCGCACGTTTTAGAGTATTTGTCTGCTATCCATTTCCACATGACGATAAGCCTCTTCGTACATCTATCATTTGTGATCGCCAGACCGCTTCTGATAAAAGAGCTACATAGCTCAGTGGGGCCTTACCTGGTAGAAAAAAATAGTTTTGGTGTCAATTCCACATTCCTATGGCGGGGGTGGTGGGTGGGTGGTGGGTGGGTGGGTGGGTGGCGGGTGTGAGTCTCTCCTTGCGACGACTACTGTCAACGTCCACCACAAAGCCAGCGCTCATCGACCCCGGATTGGTGACGGTCCCGGGTTCAAGCCCCGGTTAAGATTGCATCCCGGAGACGTTCACGACCGCGAGCCGCCGCTCCCACCGCTGAGCAGCGCCGAGGGGTGCACGAGCCTGCTAATTTATGGGGCTCCTCTGCGCTGGATTTTCCCCGCGCGCGCATTAATCTCACTTTGGGGCCGGGCGCGCGCCTCCCGGTATTGAGCCGCCGTTCACCCGCCCGAGTGAGCATTTTATTTACCGTGCACTTACTGTCACGCTCGTCACGGAACCGCCCGACTCGCCTACACGCACGCGCTCGTCACCCTGCGTGTCACTCTGTGTGTCACCCCGTGTGTCACTCTGTGTGTCACCCCGTGTGTCACTGTGTGTCACCCCGTGCGTCACCCTGTGTGTCACTCTGTGTGTCACCCTGTGTGTCACCCTGTGTGTCACCCTGCGTGCCACCCTGCGTGCCACCCTGCGTGTCACCCTGTAAAAAGTGGTAAAGCTATTCTCATTAACTGGGATTGTTTGTCCGCGTGTTTGTGCCTCGTATGGGTGTGTACGCGTCATGCACAGCACAGCTACCCTTCGTTTTACGCAGGGGGTTGTGGCCTTGAAAAGCGGCGCGTAACTCAACATTGCGTCGATTAAACAGAATCGAGACGCGCGGACAAGATCTTTTAAATGGCGAGCGAGAAGGGAGATGCTGACTGCTGCTGCTGTTGCTACACCGCAGGCATCATCGCTACTCCGACTAACGATCAGATCCCAGCGCGTTCCGTACACCGCAAGCCAACGCGTTGAAGCGCGTTATCTCAACAATAGTGCGCGCGCACGCGCAACAACGAAAAGCGTAAATTATGAAAAAATAAGGAGAGCTTTTACCCTTTCTGGCAATAAAACATTCGTGTTAAGATGTTCAAACACCAAATACCATTTTGCGAGGAATCAAGTCTGTATTAACCACACAGACTTGTGGTGATCATGAAAACAACACACGGCTCTGATAGTATACGCACTAAATTTCGATTTAAAGCTTTCGTGACGGCAGGGATTCATATTCTTGGTTCTTTCGGTAAAGTCACGTAGAAGGGAAATAATAAAATAATACAAATATTAAAAAAAAATTCTCACGACGTTTCGACTGCAACAAAAGCAATCATCATCAATTAGAATTAGTATACGCACTGTCTTTGATTGGCCTACACCAGAGACGGCTTTCTTCGTGACCTTCTCTCGCCAGTGTCAGACCAGAGAACGCCAAAAGACGAACAGCACAGAGACAATGCAACTATCAGGGCATTTTTAGCTCGTCGTTAGCAGCTACAACACGGAAGGCTTTTTTTCCCACTATCAAAGTATTTTATTGCCAGCAAAGGCTGAACAACCTATTCTTATTTTCTTATTTTGTCATACTTTGATCCCGGCAAAAAGGTCCGAGGCGTGAATCAATCGAGCGCGCTGCTTCAAAAATCGCGTTACGTCAACGCGCGTGAGACCCCCCCTCCCTTCCTCCCTCCCCGATGTCGCCACGAGAGGGCGGTCGTTGTCTCTGGCCCATCGCCACACGGGGGGAGGGGAGGGAGTCCCTTGCACAACTGCAATAGAGGAGAGTGGCGCGCGAGACGTCACCTGTTGTGTTTTCTGTCGTTTCTCTCCGATGGCGCGCCGAGACGAGTCGTACTTCATCGCCCGTCCTCACGCGTACGGCTGCGCGCGTTGTATGCATGCATGTATGTATGCGCTGTATGTATGAGTGTATATATGCACGCGTAGATGTATGTATGTATGGTGTATGTATGTATGTATGGTGTAAGCGTCGTGGTGACGTCACCGTCACTTAGTGGCGAATGGCGGTTGTTGTATGTATGTATGTTGTATGTATGTATGGTGTATGTATGTATGGTGTATGTATGTATGGTGTATGTATGTAGGATGTATGTATGTATGATGTATGTATGTAGGATGTACGCATGTATGATGTATGTACACATGCATGTTGTATGTATGTACTGCGTGTCATCGCGCAGTGTTCGGCCGGAGCGCGCGGACCAGCAGCGAGCTCATCGGACGCGTCGTCCTGGGCCGCTTCCCCAGCGGCGCCCCCGAGCTCACGCACTGGCGCCGCGCCATGGCCTCGCCACGCACGCCCGTGGCGCAGTGGCACAGCCTGCGCTCCCGCGGGGCCTGCGACCGCGTCTCGCCGGCCTCGCTCGCCGTCACCTGACGCGCGACGCCGGCTCCTCTACCTGTGGTGTGGGGTGGTGGTGGTGGGGTGGTGGTGGTGGGGTGGGGTGGTGGTGGTTGTGGTGTGGTGGTAGTGTGGTGGTGGGGTCGTGGGGTCGTGGTGTGGTGGTGGTGTGGTGGTGGTGTGGTGGTGGTGTGGTGGGGTGGTCGTGGGGTCGTGGTGTGGTGGGGTGATGGTGGTGAGGTGGTGGTGGTGGTGTGGTGGTGGGGTGGTGGTGGGGTGGTGGTGAGGTGGTGGTGGGGTGTTGGTGGTGGGGTGGTGGTGGAGTGGTGGTGATGTGGTGATGGAGTGGTGGTGGTGGGGTGGTGGTGATGTGGTGATTTAGTGATGTGGTGGTGGTGGAGTGGTGATTGAGTGGTGGTGGAGGAGCTGCAGGAGACGAACCCATACGACGCACCTGTAAGGCACCTCGCATGTGCGCGCATGTGCGCACACCTGCGACTGACTACAGCAGACGAGCACGCACACAGGTAGCTACTTAAGGGGAGGGGGGCGAACACACGCACACGAACAACTACAGGTGAACACACCCCGCACGCCTGCATAGCGCAGGCCCTTCAGTTCACTAAAGCACGCGTACGCCACATACCCACGTGTCCGCCACATACCCACGTGTCCATGAGCGTGTTTTAGCAGAGCGCCTGTGACGCAGCACACCTGTGACCACATGGGTGGTGATACACGGCTCACCTGTAGGAAGGCACACTCACACACGTGTGGTAGAGTACACCTGTGGTGACGCATCACACCTGCGGCGACGCGGCACACCTGTGACTACACAGGAGACATCGCACTGCGCATCTGTCGGGCATCGCGGACACAGCGTAGGCCGGCACGTGGAGGCGACATCGGGCCCAAATAATTTCTCTCAGCGGCCTGAATTTTCAGCCCGAGTTCAGTTGACAAATACACAGAAACGCGCTGCTGGGATGATCACTCGGGTTTCCAGTGCGAGTAACGAAGCTCGCGGAAACTCGCTACTGGAGAGACGAAACGACCTTTGTTTGAAACCGTGGAAGAATCTATTAAGGCCAGGAGACCTGGGGAAAAAACGACTAAAACTCATACTAATAGGGGGTTTCCCCTTTTTTCTGGCAACAAAACGGACACCTTTTGCAAGGAATCATGATTACATTAACCACAATACTTGCAGTCAAATGCAAACAAAAAACAATACTCTGATAATTTATGCATTGTCCTTGAAACTGAGTGGTCCACACCAGAGACACCTTTCTTTAGAGCCTAGTCTCATATGGTGTTCGACCAGATGACGCCAAAAGGCGCACAGTTCAAAGACAACGCACTACCAGAGTAATGAGAGCTCGGGGTGAGCAGCTACATCACGGAACCTTCTTTGCCAGTACCAAAATATACTACAAGTATTGTGGTTAATGTAAACATGATTCCTTGCAAAAGGTGTCAGTTTTGTTGCCAGAAAAAAGGGGAAAACCCCTATTAGTATATTTTGGTACTGGCAAAGGAGGTCCCATGATGTAACTAAAACTCAATTCGGCGAAACCAATTCAGAGCGCAGCAAAGCAAAGTGTCATCGTCACCTGCAGCGCGCACTATGTGCTGCGTCCCATGTGCCGCACACCTGTGTACTCTGCTCCTGTGCCGCGCACCTGTGCCGCGCACCTGTGCCGCGCACCTGTGCCGCGCACCTGTGCCGCGCACCTGTGCCGCGCACCTGTGCCGCGCACCTGTGCCGCGCACCTGTGCCGCGCACCTGTGCCGCGCACCTGTGCCGCGCACCTGTGCCGCGCACCTGTGCCGCGCACCTGTGCCGCGCACCTGTGCCGCGCACCTGTGCCGCGCACCTGTGCCGCGCACCTGTGCCGCGCCCCACGTGCTTCCCGCCTGTGCTGCCCGCCTGTGCTGTCCGCCTGCGCGCGTAAAACCACATTTCACACGGCACCCTCGCGCGGGGGACCAATACGTGCAGCGCACAGGGTTCATGCGCGCAACGCAGCACGACGTCACCGCAATGAAAACGCAAACGGCGATATGCAACACGTTAAGCAATACAAAAAAACAAACAAATCGGTACCATTGGAACCTCATTTGCCAGTAAAAAATATGATAATTGTTTTTTTACCCTTTTATCTGGCAACAAAACTGACACCTTTTTTTTACAAGGAGTCATGTTTGCATTATGACTGCAGGTATTGTGGTTAATGCAAACATGACTCCTAATAAAAAAAAGTGTCAGTTTTGTTGCCAGATAAAAGGGTAAAAAAACAATTATCAAACAAATCGGTACTTTATAAAAACGCGGCAACGGTACGACCGTTGCTGAGTTCGATGACGACGATTGACGAGGATGATGATGATGATGAGGGGGCCAGCAATGACGCGCGGCGCAACGTTTTCGCGAACCAATCCGCGGACGTCTCCCCTTATCCCGAGCAGTTACTTTGCGCGAAAAAAATATTTTAAAATGCATATATATATTAATATATCTTTAAGCAATTACTTCATGATGGCTGATTGTAATTTCGTTGACGGCACACCGTCTCGGTGACGCCGTCCCATTTGGTTCAGAGCTGCAAACTGTGATTCATCGTTTAGTCGGCGGCGGAGACATCTATCGTTAGTCGATAAGGAGTTGCGTGTACGAGTCGACCGTGTTTATTTCGCAAAGCATGCTGCCTCATTAGGATTTCGTAATAATGATTATTAATAATAAGAATGATAACACGGGCGGCATTCGCCTGTGCTCTGTGAGCAGTTAAAACAACCGGGCGAGATTTTTATTTAAAGCTTTCGTGACTGCAGGGATTCATATTCTTGGTTCTTTCGGTAAAGTCACGTAGAAGGGAAATAATAAATTAAAATAAATATAAGACAATAAAAATTCTCACGACGTTTCAAGAAAATTTGAAATTTTCTTGCTGTGGATTTCACACCTGATGATGATTGCTTGTGTTGCAGTCGAAACGTCGTGAGAATTTTTATTGTTTTATATTTATATTATTTTATTATTTCCCTTCTACGTGACTTTACAGAAAGAACCAAGAATATGAACCGGGCGAGAGTTCTGTATCAGATGAATCGAGGGATCTGTATCAGATGACACCAGGGTTAACCGGATGAGACGAGGGTTCTGTATCGCATGAGACACATCTACTGTGAGATGGGTTTGCGTGGTACGCGTCTCTTTGGCAATTCTCTTCTGAATGGAAGAGAGCCGCCCAATACTCTGACGCGTCACGTTGGTGATGTCACTAAAGTCTTATGCCTGGCCATGACCTTACATGCTTTCTTTTAATTACCAAAGCTTCAAAACTCGTGTTGGACAGCCTGGGATACATAGTCTAGGTCAGTATTTGAAACGATTTTATTTTTATTTGACCAGATAAGGCCCACTGAGCTGTTTCGCTCAGCAGGCGTCAGGGTCGGCCTGGCGATCACAAATAATGGCTCTGCGAAGTGGCTTATCGTCATGGGGAAATGTATAGCGGACATCTACTCTGAACGCGTGTTGTTGATTCTAAATGTGGAGTGAAAAACCGGAGTACCCGGAGAAAAATCCACGCGACCACGGGGAGAGAGACACACGCAAACTCCTGTATACCAGGCATAGGTAGTTAACATCTCGCCACCGAATAGCGACGAGAGAAGAGCTGCTGTTTGGATTGTCTTCCTTTCGCCCACATTCTCGACATAAATACAGGTATCCCTCGATTTATGAAAGGGATGCGTTCTTCAAAGAGCATGCGTAAAAACGACATTTTCGTAAATTGGAATTGCTTTTCCCATCCGTTTAAAAGAAACCCTACTACCTCCGATCGGCACGGTGCAAATATACACCGATATCACTTTTCACAAGACAAAAATAATAGATGACATGCCGCCTTCTGCTGCGTCGACTTCGCCGCGTTTGATGACCTCGCGGCACGTGGCCAGAGCGAAGCTCTGGCCACGTGCCGTGAACGCGAAACGTCGTAAACACCTAAACGTTCGCAAATCGAGGGATACCCGCGATTCAAATCGCACGCTTTTTAAACATCGAAGAGAACCCGTGTCACTTACGCCAAGAACACCTCGGCGAGTCTCAATATTTTTTATTTTTTAGTCTAAAGAGGCCCCTTGCCTGCCTTGCGGCGTCAGTTGCGTGACAACTTCCGCGCGAGAGGAAACCGGAGTTCAGCTCCGCACAGACGGAGTCACGAATCCAGTGCGCTGTCACCGCCATCTCCTGGCCCACCGCGCAGCACAATCCCGCCCCCCAAAAAAACCCACCCCGGCGTCCGAAGGCAAGGGGCAGCCCCAGCCAGCCGAGCCGGGCGGTCTCCCGTCCGAGTACTTAGCGGGGTTCAACCCCCCCCCCCCCCCGCTTCGCTGTGGCTTCCGAGATCGGACGGGAAGCGAGGCGCACCTCGAAGGGCGTGGTTCACTTTGACAGCGGGTCAAGCGGCGGCTCGTCGTCGTTCAGCATCCGTGCCGCGCGCGCGAGAGAGAGAGTTTATTTTAGCGTTGCTAAATATTGTGCATTAAACTATTATACAAGCAATCTTTACGTTACGTTCACACACACACACATTGCGGTGCTTATACTTGAATATACTTCGTTCATATGCATCATTTATGACGAGTGACGGTTACGGTAATGCACCTTTATTTGTGTTTAATTCGCGTTGCTTCAAATGGACGTGGTCGCTCACTCGCGTCGGTGTTTTGTCGGCGCTACGGGGAAGCCGAGGGCAGCAGGGGGGGGGGGGGGCAGGAATGACGTGCCGATTTACGCCGAGTCCGATGTGTGGTTTTTCTTTTTGTGGAGTCATTCGGGTTGCAATGTCACGGGGAGGGGGGGGGGCTTCGCGTGCGCATGAGCCACGCAAGCCCCCTAACAGCCCCTGACCTCCCGTGACCTCCTCTGATGATGATGATGATAATAATGTCATTTACACACCCAGAAAAGCCTCACAGAGTCTCAAAACAGATTTTATTTTTCAAGAGGGTCCTGGTACATTAGGGTGTTTGACCAAATGCCTTTT